AATATTTATGTAACTGCTCTAGCTAATATAGGATTGAAGAGTTGAAGTATAATTAACTCGTTGACTGGTTGACAGTTAATAATTGTTAAGAGTTCACTTCAAATTCTATGGAGACATATTTTTTTAACCGCTAGGTGGTTCCAGTAAGGGATGTGTGGAACGGATGAATCTCTCTATCTTTAATTAGAGGTCTTGATTCTCGAGACCTTTCTAATAAGAATGTTTCCCTCTTAAATGGATCATACTTGGTGCAAATATATATTTGTTTAGGCAGTTGGTTTTCAATATAGCCGATGGTTTTAAAAAAAAAAACTCTTATGTCATCCCTCTGAGACATTACGGTGTAGGATCATCCAAGGTACTTTAGACATAAAAATGGCAAAATTCAAGTTAAGAGTGCAAGGCCAAGACGGCATCGCAATTTCCCTTTTAGAATTTCGTCCTATTTTACTACTTTGTTCACCTCAATTGACTGGTTAACAATTAACAATTGTCAAGAGTTCACTTTAAACTCTATGGAGGCATGTTTTTTTAACTTCTAGCTAGGTGGTTCCAACAAGGGATGTGTATGATGGATAAATTCCCCGTCTTTAACTAGAGATCTCGAGTTTGAACCTTGAGAATGAAAAACTTTTTGATATGAGCACTTTCCCCTAACGAATTTGAATTAGTTAGGTCATTAGCTCGAGACATTGTGGTGTAGGATTATCCAAGGTACATTAGACATAAAAAAAAAATGGCAAAATTCAAGTTAAGAGTGCAAGACGGCATCGCAATTTTCCTTTTAGAATATCGGCCTATTTTACTACTTTGCTCACCTTAAATGGCATGAGCTTTTAGAACTAAGATTAAAAATGTAATTGATCATTTTTCGCTATTTAAAACTTGTTCTGGTCCTCCTTCTAGTTGCATAGCATAGCACACAAGATTGGAGAGTTGAAAAAATTGCTACCATGTGAATGAAGAAAATCTGTAGGACTACAATAATGCAAAATTCAAGAATTGCTTTCTTTCATGTGAACGGAACAAACATGTATATAGGAATTAGGACAAAAAATATTTATGTTATTCTTTTGCCCAATGGATTGTTTATCTTATGTTTGACCCCAATACATACTAATTATGATGATCAGTCGTGTTCTTTGAACGTGGATTCGCAGTTGCACATTTCTTTTCTTTTAAAATTCCTATTCCCATGGGCAAAATAAATACTATGACTTATTTAATAATATAGTAAGGGACGTTTATTTCAAAATATAACATAGAGTATTACTTTAACAATTATAATTTTTAAATTATATGACGCATTTCTTAATTTGAGACGTGTTGGAGACTTGGAGGTTTAGACATACTCCCATTAATAATGTTATTTAATACAATCAAATTTATTCAAATAGTCATACTTAGTCGTCTCATCAAATTAACATTTCAACCAAATTTCAGTATTCTTTTACATTACAATACGTAATATTTAAGTCAAAATAAAAAATCCTAAACTCAATGTTCCTTCAAATAGTACCATGTAAAAGTAGACGGAGAGAGTAAATTATGAAGCAAAAGTTGCAATAGGTATAAACTTTTAATTACCTAAAAATAAGTTTATTGAAAATTAAAAAATTTAACATATGTAAATAAATTTCTCGACTAAAACTCAAGGACCAAGGAGTTTCTACAGTTAAGATGACTCTAGGTACACACTGATGTATGAACCTACTTAAAAAATAATTAATAAAAAGGGTAACATGTTCGACCTTTTCTGGAGAAAAAAAGAGGTAAAGAATAAAATTTTTCGCTACGGAAACTAATACATTCTCTAACTAAAAGGTTATAAAATATGTATATTTTTTTATATACGATACACATATACACAAATATATATATATATATACCAAAGTCGTCGGTTTAGTCGGCCCAACTAATTTGGATGCCACTATTGCTTGAAGCCCAGCCATTATTCCTGGCCCACCAATCTTTCGTAATGCTCCATTTATGCGCACCCACGTGTCGACATATTCCAAATTTACCGGAAAAGGGCCGGGAGCAGCGCCCATTCCGCGTTGTGCAGTCACGTAGAATAGACGACAACTTGACGCCGTCAAGGGAGGGGCTGTCCGGAAGATTCTCAAGCCGTTAAATCCGACGTCTTCCGTTTATCCTCGAATACATCAACTGAGATAGAATTTTTTTTTTAGCGGACACCAGCTCTTCATCGATTTCCGTTATTTTGCCGAACCACTTGGTTCGGAAACCGAGCCTCAGGTTCGAAATCACGCTCTTTAAGCCTTTCGATATTTTCCCTCTTTCCGCACACTTGCGAGCGTAAGGAAAGCAGTCACTCAAAAAGCAAAAAAAAAATCCCCAATTGCCGGCGGCAAACGACTGTTAGATCGGAGTACAGGATGGCCGATCACGCCGGCGAGCACGAATCAGTCGTTGAATCGGTGATGGATAAGATCAACGATAAGTTGCACCACGATTCATCCTCATCGGATTCCGAAGATGAGAAGGAGAAAATATCGCCGGTCGAGGCTGTCAAGGCTAAGATCTATCGTCTCTTTGGTAGGGAAAGACCCGTCCATAAGGTTCTCGGCGGTGGAAAACGTACATCTCTCAAATCTCTTTCTCTCTCTAAATATCTACTTTTTTCTTTTTTCAATATAGATTTGTGTATAAAGATATATGTGATACAGTTTGTCCTTGATTCAGAATGCATTTTCATTATACTTTAAAATTTGTTTAAGATTTTCGGAGTTTGAATTACTTTAGATTTATTTGGCATTGGTGTTGAGATGCGCTTTAATTCTTTTTTTCCTTTTCAAAATTCTGAAATTGGAGATCTATTGCAACAGTTGGAGCCGCATTTCATTCGTTTATATGTAGCTACATACATTTGGATCCACGCTAGTGTCTCTGTTGTTTTCCTTTTCTGATACAATATTGTTCATTGGCTTCGCATGTATCTGTGGTTGGCTGGTTGTGTTGTTATCTTTCCGATTCATGCAGTGTATAATATTTTCGAAATTGGTTCATAGCGAGATCAAATTCTTGAGAAGGTTGCATTGTGAATATACTGCCTGTAAATAAACTAGACGCTCGCATGCTTCGTTGTTACTCATATCCGTTAACTGAAGAATTATTTTTTATCTGAAGGTTTATTGGGCAATTTTGACTTTTTTAATGTAACATGTATATTTGATATACAATCTACTTTAGCAGCATGGTTTACGTGAGATGTAGAATTACATCCATGATGTGTGTCTGATGTGCAGTTACACGGTTTTCTTTTATAGCTGCATGATTTTATGTATCTAATTATTCAATTCGATTGGGCAGCTGCTGACATTTTCCTGTGGAGGGACAAAAAAATTACTGCCGGCGTGCTTGGGTTTGCCACTGCAATTTGGGTGCTTTTTGAGTTGCTCGAGTACCACTTGCTCACACTTGTGTGCCATATTCTGATCCTTGCCTTAGCTGTCCTTTTCCTCTGGTCCAATGCATCCACCTTCATCAACAAGTAAGTATATTCTTACCTTCTTTAGTAATTTTCTCTCCAGATTTACCTGAGAATTGACCTTGAAATATCATGCACCAGGTCTCCACCCCAAATTCCGGAAGTCATTTTGCCCGAGGATATTGTCCTGGGTGTTGCTTCTGCCCTCAGGATTGAAATCAACAGAGCTCTTGAAATCCTTCGGGATATTGCCTCTGGAAAGGAATTGAAGAAATTCCTTGCTGTATGTTTTTGTGTCCATTAGTTGTGTAATTTGAGTCCATTATTTTGATAGAATAAGCTTGAGCATAACTTCTTGTTGGTTCTTCGTTATTTAAATTTCATCTTCTCCAAGTTTTGATACAAAAATTACATGCAGGTTATTGCTGGCTTATGGGTACTTTCAATATTGGGGAATTGCTGGAACTTCCTCACCTTGTTCTACATATGTAAGCGATTTTATCCTGTTCTTTACTGGAATGCATAGATCTAATGCGTATGATTTAGTTTAGTTCTGATAGTGCGCCTTTTCCCTTCTCTTTGCAAACAGGCTTTGTATTGCTCCATACCGTCCCTGTACTTTATGAGAAGTATGAGGACCAGGTTGATGCTTTTGCTGAGAAGGCTGAGGCAGAGATCAAAAAGCAGTATGCTGTTTTTAACGTCAAGGTTCTAAGCAAAATTCCAAGAGGTCCACTGAAAGACAAAAAGCTCCTATAGACACGAATAGGTGGCACCCCTTAGGTTCACAGAGTCGTTTCTCCAGATATTGTGATTCAGTTATGCTAGAAGACCTTTGTTTACTGGTTTTGCTTTGTTATTTTGGCGTTTTTTTGTGGTAGTTTTTGAGATCCAGATATGATTTTCTTTGTTGTTAAATTTTGAAAGATTGCTGTATGAATATTGGCAGTCGTCATGGTGACAGTACACATCAATATGCAAGTGAGCATTTCCTCCAATTATAAATCAGATAATGGAAACACATTTGAATTTTGCTTGACAGCAATGTCTCTTTGTATGGCTACTTTTAAGTGTGGAATGATGCGAATTACGTTTCACAGCTTAATTCAATGTGTTATGTATCAGTTTTGCTGCATAATTTGCTGCCGTGCAACGTACTTGCTAATTTTGCTGTGGCTCTATAATACCTATAGAATTTGTCTCCTCCGCAGCGACTCTTGCCATTGCGTTATATCTTGTTGCTTACAGTTCAATTGGTGTTCATTACAGTTCACGGACATGGCTAAGTTCAAGGTTATGTTTTGGAAGACTTAACCTTTAGAAAAAATTGAAACTTGCACTTGTTCCAACAACAAATCCAATGTAATCTCAAAAGTGGGATCTGAAGAGGGTAGTGTCTTTGCAGACCTTAGTGCCTTGAGAAGGTAGAGAGTAATAAAAACAACAAATAGTAATAAAAATTAACTTGCACTTGTTCCAATAGGTAAAAATGTAAGTTAGGCGGTTTCAACGAATAGTTGCAATCTGCGTGAGAACCCAATCCAATATGTATTTACACTGATGAGATTTTCATTTCTATAACTCTCGACGTAGAAAGGATGTAATTCGACCATTTCAAATTAACCATGTCTTTGTTACCAGAAGCAACAAAAAGGACAAAACAACCGAGAAGGCTAATTAATTGTCACATTTGATTGATATTTGAACGTGCACTAATTACAATCTTTTACCTCATTGTTTCAGTCCCCAGCAAACACTGTTTATATCTCGATATATTAACAAGGATCTTCTATATGCTACCACATCCGGCATGCGGCTCGCCAAATCTCGTGGGATACGCCCACAGCTTGAAGAGTGAGCCATCAACTGAGTCATCTGAATCACTATCACTATCTGAGGAAGGTATGGATTCCTCTATTACGTAGTCCACAATCTGGCAAAGGCAAAAGACAACTTCAGAAAACCTTGCTGGACTAGCTATGAGCTGCTTAAGATGGTGAAAAAACAATGTTGTATTGAACTAAGAAAATCTGAAGAGACAGGAACATTTCTTTTCTCCTTACAGTGCTAAGGAGATAGCATTCACAAACCTGTTTAATTGACACAGGCATGATCTGATGTTCATCAGAAATTTTCCCAAAGCATTCATTGGAACACTTGGAATTACTCAGCCAAACAATTGAATTGCACTGCTTGCAAAAGCCCCTCTGGGATGTTATCTTTCTTGAAATTCCTGAGTCAAAACAGCTAGGGTGTATGAAAAAAAAATGACAAAAAAATTTGTTAAGAAAAAAGAAAACAAGCAGATAGAGTAAAGACCTCTCTGAATGAAGACAAATGATAATGCTAGAATAGTCCAAGTGGTCTATAAACTCACACAACATGGATAAAAACAATGAAACATAGCCGGAATATTATTCTGCCTTATCAAAGTGGGATAGCAGCCAATGGGAATACCTCTATAAGCTCGCTTGAAAGCATCTCTCCAGTCAACACTAGCTGTGGTGGTATTTCCCGGAGTAAAAGTAATTCTCTCCACACCATAGGTAAGCCTGATAATATTTGGGTTGTCACTTGGCCTTCCGAAAAAGTTAATATGCATCAACTGCCACAGATGGTTGTCACTAGCTGCCACACTCCACGACCTGCAAAAGTAGACACCTTTTGATATATCATTCTGATATGGTAAATTGGTAATTGATTAAATCAGACAGAGGACTAGGTCCTATGTTCAAGAGATGCCTACACTGAATTTAATTGACGCAACCACTTAAGTTGATAAGGAAAGACTCATACCTGCAGACTAAAGAGGCAGTGACAAGAGACGTTAAATCTAAGAAGCCAAATATGTGTACAAGAACATCCTGAGGAAGTTGGCTCCTACCTGGAATGCAAAGAAGCAATACAAAATTAGAATGCAGTGAGCAGATACAGAAGTATTGAGCAATATTTTAGAAAAAGGACACCATATTGAATGTTAACGTCTCTACAACTGGTTAGCAATTTGCTTTACCATTCCTTATGAAATCTACATTAGCTGAAGTTCAGTTGTGGCATGAGGGTCGGTGGAGGCACTATAAATTCGAGATTTAACTGTTAACTGGAGGATGATCTTTTGCCTTACCAAGTAGTATATTATGCTGTCCATTTCTCCACTAATGTTTTTCCCTTTACTGGGAAGAAGAGGTGGAGGAATGTTCTCAACTAAAGTCTCTAAGGACNTAAATTCAGATGCAGCTAAAACTTTTTTTTGTTTAGGTAATGCAGCCTCGATGCTGTGAAGCAGACCATTTGCTGCTGATATGGCTGCTTGTGTCTGCATTCTGAAGTGAAAACTTTAATATTAAGGTTCCTTTTACTTGAAATAGAAACATATCACTAAATACGGATCAACAACAAACAATTTCATGAACAAGAAATATGTGAACATTATTATGTTCTTAATGTCAGCAAATTAGGTTGTCTATAAGATCTTTTGATTCAGGGACCTCAAAGTAGAAAGGATTGGATCTCTCCTTCAACATGGCATGGCTCCATCAAGCCCTTATTACCAGCAAATGCTTATCATTAAGAAAGCAGAAAAAAGATGAAAATGTAGTAGCTAGGGTGTCTTTTATAAGGTTAACCAACATGTTAGCACAAGTGCTAAGCCCCACGGAAAGTGTTGATCAACTATATTTTTAATTTCTAAACTTGCAAATTTTACTAAATGCTTCTCCAGTTCTTTATATGCACACCGGAAACTTCGATTCTCAAATGTAATAATCAACAATTTGCTAGTGAGTGAAAAGGAACATATATCAATCAGATTAAACATTCTAAATCGTATTAATCCATCAGTCAATTATGCTGCAATTACTGTTTTCCAATCTACCTTGGACGAACTATGCTTTTATATACACGGAGTTAAATTTCTATTAATCGAATCAAAGAAAATACAAGGACAAACCTATTAACTCCTCAGGTAGATTATGCAGTAGTAATTTCTAAAAAAAATCGAAGGAGGAGGAGGAGTGACTTACTGAGGGAGGAGGCGAAAGGCGGCGAGGGAATCCTGAAAGATGAGAGTTTGCAAATTTTTGGGAATTTTAGAATATGCATTTCTTAGAATACAGCTAAGCTCTTCACAAGCAATTGGGTAATGATAGGCTCGACTCAACGACTCCTTTAACCCTAGCTTTTCATACCTCTCCACCATTAAACCTCCCATCTCTACTCTACGATCCAAGCCCACACATGTTCGCTGTGTGTTTCAATGGCCGATTGAAGATCCAAATATGTGCGTGTTGCGTAAAGAGGAGATGGTCGGTTTTTCTGGTTTCGAATTTTTTGTGCTGTTCTGCAGTTTTCTTAGCTCCTGATTCCTGACTTTGCTTGTCATTAACATGTCAAATTATTGGGAAAATTGCTATACTAATTAGTACTGTAGTATAAACCATCAGCTTAAGTTGACATATATAAAGTACCAAGGAAATCTAGTATGGCAAAAATTAGTTTTTTATTTTATCTTTTATTCTTAATGAGAATATATAGTCACACAAATATTATAATATATTTAAAAATATAAGTTTCAAAAGTTATTTTTATTTTTTAATTCACTTAAAAAGAAAGGGAAAGAAGTAATTCTTTATAATGATAATATATTGATTAAATTCTGTTGTAAAACAATAAGAGAAGAAGAAGAGTAATGCAAAGAAAAGCAAAGAGAGAATTTTTATTGATTTGGGGTGAATTACAATGGAATAGAACCCCTTTATTTATAGAGAAAAATGTCACGCCCCGACCTTTGGGAGCGCGACCGGCGCTCAACCAAAATACCCCGGCCAAGCAAGCGTTTACAATGCCTTCTACCCAACTCGCCCATGGATAAAGATAAGATATATTTATATCATTTATTAAATATTAAGTAGATTCCGTGAACAATGTCAATTCCATTACCATAAGTCGCTTCATTTTATAGTCTCAAAATACATACACAATCATAGTTAAAGTGTACAAGTGATTCAAATACAACAAGGCTAGTTTGACTTTCCCAACACCCATATACAACCCACATTGTGTCTACGGAGCCTCTACGGATACAAAATACTATGATGATGCCGGCAACAAGGTCCCGGCTATACCTCAAAACATAATACACGTGGGACAAAAGATACACGACCCCGAATGAAGTGAGGCTCACCAAATCTACTGAGAAGATGGTGTACTGCTATCAATGATCAATGCCACCTGGTGCGAAACTACCTGCATCCATTAAAGATGCAGCGCTCCGGGCAAAAGGGACGTTAGTACGTATGAAATAGTACTAGTATGGATGACTAAACACCCTCTCAATAGAACAAATGATAGCATAAGTAAGGACAATAATAAAATCAATAGGAGCCTCAAACAATACCAAAACATCAAATTAGGAGCAAGACAAGTTTTCAAGTAAATTTCCATATTTTAAGTTTGGAGAGATCTTAGCACCGATATACCATGATCTTGGGCACAGAGTCCGATCACGGCCCGATCGGCTAGGTCGCCTCACCCAAAGACATCAACCACGATCACAATCACAATCATTATCTCAGTCTCAATCATTGTTTTATTCGTAATCTCAAGCACAATCACCACCATGTATGCGGCATGGCGTCCGATCACGACCCGACCGGCTAGGCTGTCTCACCACAATGCCGTGTGGATCGACATCACCCTTTTCTAGCAAACATCTCATCCCAATAAAGGGGAATATTTTCTTCACATCAATCTTATCCCCATAAAGGGGTACAATCACACTTCGCTCCTACACCGGCACGTGTAGTTTCGGGGTTAGGTTATTTCAACCTACCCTTCCTTGATGACTAACGACACTCCCAGGGTGTTTATTTATTTAAAGGATTGACAACTCATTTCATTATCTTTTATATACCATTCGCTTCATTGGCACCAATGGCTATAACACAATGTCACTCTTGGCACGTGTCACGACCCATTTTCTGAACAATCCATGACCGGCACCCGATCGGTAAATTCGACCGAGTGAACCATTTATGCTTATCAAAACTATTATAGCTCAAACTTTATATGCAACAAGGCAATACTTTAATCAAATACTTTTAATTAATTTGAATATCTAAAATAAACCAACTCCAAAACGTTATTCGTAGTAACTACTAAAATACTATAAATTTATTATCAAAAACACTTGAATCTTAACCCACCGACTATGTCTATGAAGCCTCTACTGATAAACTGACGCACTGTTCAGGACATGAGATTTCCTAGCCAGTTCTCCAAGTAAACAAAGAAATATCTAAATAATGACGACTCAAAGGAATACTCTACGGACAAAAGCGGAGCTCACCAATAGCACTGGAAGTGAGGGAAGTCCTAACATGTAGCATGCTTGCCTGCAAAACCGGTTCCTACGTTGTACCACACCAACGCAGGTTCCCAAAAGAGAACGTCAATACCATCCATTGTACTCAGTGAGTCTCAACAACAGGGGACGAAACCTTAATAAAATATACATTACAAGCAAAGTTTCTAAATGCATGAAAAACGTCAAGCTTTGTTGAACAATTATAAAATAATTGCATAACAGTAGTTTAAGAATATTCTAAAAGAAATTCTTTTCTTTTCTTTTTCTTTCAAAAAAATAATATTTTACTTCATACTTCGGGAGTTCCAACTATCCTGACTTATTTTTGTCTTAGTCATCGTGTGATCGGCGCAGGTTCGATCCCAACCTGATCGAATAGGCCCAATCCACGAGGTGCCACTTGCTTCATGGTTCTCAGCGCTCATGTATCATAACTTATTATGGCCAGGCAAATTCTCAGCAACAAGACCCTCAACTCGTATGCTCCCTACTTTAGCATAAGTACTTCCAGGAAGTCACGCCTTGGTCAGGACCCTCGGCCTGGACGATGACCCCTTCTCAGAATAGAGGATACTCCCAAAAATCTTTTCTTTCTAAAACTTTTTCTTGTGACTTTTCAAATCTAAATCTTGTTTGAAAGTGATCTATCAATATTCATAATAATATTCTTGAGTGTATACATAACATACGCATGAAATAAAGTTACTCAAAGTATCTTTACAAGTTCTATCTAACTCTTGAAACTTTAACATGTAAGATCACGTAATAAAGCATAAAAATATGAAAAATAGACGATTATACTTCTCGAGAAAAATATATAAGCTTTAATGATGGTAGGCTATAATCTCGTATTTTAGTCGCTTATTGCACTCTAATTCACTGCGCTTTAATTAATAATGCTTTGCAATTATTATGTGTTTTATGCTGTGTAGGAGTGATTCCGAGTTATTTAGATATTGCGGAGCAAATTCGAGCTAATTGGAGCTTTGAAGTCTGAGTAAAAGCCCAAGGGATTAAACCGGGATAGCGTTCGGGGGTCGAGTACCAAGTCCGGATGTCAAAAATTGGAAAAACGAATTACTCTACAAAAAATGCACTGCCGCGCCGCATGGGGCGGCGCGGCAGTGCAAAATGTGCCTAGAATCAAAGTTGCAAATCATACTGAAAATTACCACTAGCGCGGCGCATGCCGCGGCACGGCATGCGACGCGGTAGTGCAAAAATATTAGAGTATGTTTTCAATTTCGCTAAAATAGGGTATTTTCGTCCGGAGTTTATTTGGGGGATAGTTAAATACACGAAAAAAATACCATTTCTGGACTTTTGACATACCTTAGACCTAAGGAAGTTAAGGAGAAGCAAGAGAACAAGGATTTCATCCTTCCTTCCTCACTCAAGATCCGGGTTTGAATTGTATTTATGTTTTCCTATATTTTAGTTATATTTGTGAAGAACTTCTCTATGTCTATGGAGTAGATCCATTTGGATTTTGATGGATTTGGTGTATTTATGGTTATTCGTGGATTATAGCTCTATTTTTATG